GGCGAGAGTCGCATGCATATCTAGAGAAGACCTATTCGTCCTTCAATGCCACTAATATTGTCCTACAACAACAATATAGGGCACCAAATTTCACTAAATTTTCAAATTTGATCTCTATTTTACTTCTCCTTGAAAAGCAAAATCAACTTTTGATGAAAAATCATCAAGCTCAACCTATTGGCTCGAATGCTACGCTTGAAGCACATGTGACTAATTCTAGTAGCCACAAACGAAAAAAGAACCATCGTAGCCGTGGAAACTGGCGGCAACTCCAACCTTAGGCCCAAGGTCAACAAAGCAAAGGCCTTGCCAAGGGAGGCCCTGGCTTCAAGAACAAAGGAAAAGCTACCATTTATTCGAATTCCACTACATTGGACATGTACTACCGTTGTGGATCAATGGACCATTGGCCAGGCATATGTCGAGCTACCCTTAAGGCTATTGCCAAGTATCATTCTTGTCACAAGTCTAAGTTTGCACATGTGGAACATCCCGACGATACTACCACAACTATAGAGGTTTCAAATTTTCAGGTGGCATCCACTTCTATGGAAGAATGAAGTTTATTTTATTAGACATGTTCGGGTGGTTTTTACCTCTAGTGGTTGAACCTAGTATGGAATAACTTGTTTGGTTTGGTTTGTTTTGAATTATGGATAATTATGTCATGGATATTATTTCTCAATTGATTAATTGAATGACTAAAATTATATATATGCATGTGATCGATTCAATTAATTTATTTCTAGGTATGACTAGTGGAGAAGTTAGTTGTCTGGCAGATAATGCTACCACACACACCATCTTGCGTGAGCAACACTATCTTACTAACTCCGTACCTAAAAATGCACTTTTGACAACCCTTTCAAGTTCATCTAACTTGGTGGAACAATAAAGAAAGGGCCATATAATGTTGTCTAATGGTATTGAATTAACCATTAAAAAGACCCTCTATTCTCCTCGTTCCAGAAGAACGTTGCTGAGTTTTAGAGATATCCGAGATAATAAATATCATATTGAAACCATTGAAGAAAATGATTCTAATCATTTCTTACGAATATGGCCAGAAGTGTATTCACAAGAAGTTGGAATGTTTTTCGAGGTGGTTGTACATCACAACCATTCGAGCCATAGAGACCTATCACGTGGACGACCTTGAGCCCGAGTTCCAAACCACTTTTTTATCTTGGCATGACCGGATAAGAGATCCTAAATGGGATATGATGCGCCATATCCTCAAATCTTCACATGGACATCATATAACCTCTTATACAGGAGACCCGACTTGTAAAGCATGCTACTTGGGGAAGTTGAACACTCAACCTTCATCTACAAAGATTAATCAAAACCCTCCAAAGTTTCTTTAGAGGAATCAAGGAGATATTTCTAGAACTATCCAACCAACATTCGGACCATTTAGATACTTCATGGTGTTGGTTGATGCATCGACACATTGGTCATATGTTCGCTTAATGTCCACATGCAACGCTGCTTATGTGAAACTTTTAGCTCAAATCATTAAGCTTAGGGCTCACCACCCTAATTATCTGATTTAGTGAATTTGACTATATTATGCTAGAAAGTTTACGTCACGGTCCTCTAAAGATTATTGCATGTCAATTGGGATTGAAGTTGAGCATCTTGCACCCCATGTTCATACCGAAAATAGTTTAGTAGAAGCTTTCATAAAGCACATTCAATCGATAGCTCAGACTTTGGTTATGTGAACCAAATTGCCTAAGGCTATGCAATTCTGCATGCATTTATGTTGGTCTGCTTGAAGTTCACCACTACCCAATCTCTTTCACCATTATAGTTGGTCACTGGATACAAGCCTGATGTCTCGTATTTACATGTGTTTGGGTGCGCAATCAATATGTCAATAACGACGCCACTACGTAGCAAAATAGGTCCTCAGAAAAGAATGTGAATTTATGTCAGTTATGATTTGTCATCAATTATTCGCAAGTTAAAGCCCTTGACATGAGATCTCTTTATTGCACATTTTGCGGATTCACTTTGATGAGACAATCTTGCCATTGTTGGGAGGAGATAAGAATGCTAATGTTTTTATAGAACGTCACAAATTGTCGTGGTATGCTCCCACTATGTCTCATTTAGATCGCCGCACTACCTAGTCTGAAACTGGAGTGGGTCATATTCTAGGTCTTTAGAGTATTGCTCAAAGCATGTCGGATGCTTTTACTAATCTAAATAAGGTGACGAGATCACATATACCAATTACAAACGCACCTGCAAGGATCGATGTATTTTAGGTGCATTGTAACATTGCCTCAGAAGAGCAAGCCGCCCCCGAATGAAGGTCAGCCTCACCTCCAACGCAGGTCGGTACACTAGCAACTAGCCAATCATCTACTCCTACCCTGAAGCATGGCAGACCTTATAGTTCAAAGGATTTACGACCACGAAAAAGGAAAACGACACAAACTAGTGATCCTAGTATGGATTCAACCATCGCTTGTTCATATGTTCCAACGTATAAGGTTATTCTAGATTATGGTGATGTCTTAGATAAGACAAACCGGCCTTTCAAGAATCGTGAGATTCCGTCCATATGAGTTATTTTGCCATAGTTCCAGAGATAGTATGAGTTATTTTGGTTTAGTTTCAAAAATAGTGTGAGTTATTTTGGTTCAGTTTCAGAAATAATGTTAGTTATTTTGCTATAGTTCCAGAAATAGTATTGGTTATTGGGCAGTACCCAAATTGAACAAAAATATATCCATTTACATGTTAATTCTCCCAAGAGTAGTTGTATTAAAGGTATGTTTAGAAATGACTCCGGATTTCCAAAATCATTTGTGGCATTAAGTATTCACCTCTCTTATGTGTTTTCCTAGAAATTCACTTCCAAAACATTTAAATCGTGAATTAGTGTTACAAATTTAGGGGTTAGACGAATATGCATATAGCGGAAAATGTTGGTGGAGATTTGGGAATTATACGAAGGAATGGAATTGGTCATGAATAAAAAGTAAATAAAAATCTCTAATTAAATATAAAAAACAAATAGTCTCCATTGGAGCTCTGGACTGACCCAACAATGGACACATAAATCGGACACTTGTCACCGGGCATGATTTCTGTCCCACTTCCTTATCCCATTAATCCCTCCCTATTTATAGAGCCAACCTGCATTCCATGGAGTTGAAATTCAAGGTTTTCGTGATTTTTCTGCTGTTGTTTACTTTTTTTTTTTTTTAAATTCTTTTTCTGAATACTTTTGCAGCCAAGCAACAATGCTCCCAACAGCAAACCCTGATCTTAATATCCCACTTAATTCGAACAGCAAGACACCAAAGATTGGAAGATAGAATTGAAGTCAGTGGACCCAAGCTTTTCGTCGGTCGAGATTTTGGGCCAGAGCGGGTCTGGGGAAGCAGTGATGGCAATACCCAAATGTTTGTCGATATAGTTTTTTTCTGTTAACATTCAAAATTTTCTAGTCATTTTCTTTAGTTTTTCTTTTAAAATTTGTTTTTCTTTTAATTATAAATTTGCTTATTGACATGATTTTCATACGCCATTACATTCAGAGGGCCTATTTATAATTTTTGGGTAGGGGCCGCTAAATTCAGGAGGGCCTAATTATAGATTTGCTTATTGACATGATTTAGAGACGGCCCTAATCGTCGGCATCCGCGTCTATTTATTTACCATATCGGTTTGGTAGCTTTGATGTGTGCTTAACTGATCGTGGACAAATTTTCCATGGGATCATGTGACAATGACTTGCAATCTAACCTCGTACTTTTCTCTTTCTTCTTACCTTCTGAATATTGACAGAGATCAAAATTTTCGCACTTATTTTGTGTGTGACTTTTTTGTAGTTTCTATTCTGGATTGGTATGTATTAAGTTTATGAGAATAAATTTAAGGAGGATTATGTTTACTAATACGTGTCAATACGATAGAGGCCACATAGATGTAACACGCAAAATGAGTACAGAAGATTTGAACTCATATTGATATACGTGTTAATTTGCCTTTTGGGTTTTCAAAAAGAGCAACTCAACCAAAAAACATACCTAATTTGTATGATTTTTGCAAATACCACTTTAACGCAGTGGTGGAAAGCAACTATGCTAATGCCCTGTGCGGATTTGATCCACATCAATTATCCTCCCCTCTAACAACTTACTATTTAATCCACTAACGCTATTGCTTACTTTAAAAAAAAAATTTAATTATTTTATTTTATTCCACATTTACTAGCACCAATTATCAATCTACAATAGAATAATTGTTCGAGCTTTGGCCAAGACAAGGTTGTTATTTGGCAATATCGTCAAGTTATTATAGTTTAAACATAAAAATTAGAAATAAAAACAAAAATAAAAAAGCAATAGTTTATTATTCTTTATAGATGTTACTGTTGAGAATGAATCTCACACGTAAAAATTGATAGACATTGCATGTGCTTATAAGTAATTAGACAACTCCTCATATTGCTAATTGGTTTTATGGTAAAACCTCAACTTTGTTCATGGTATCAGAGCAAGGTTGTCCCACGTGTAAAACCCAACAGCTACATGCTCCCCATATTAAGCGATTGGTGTTATCCACGTGTTAGACTTAAAAATTAACCACACGTAAAGAGGCTTGTTGAGAGTGAATCCCACATCAAAAAGAAGAGGGACCTTGCATGTACTTATAAGTAATTGGGCTACTTTCCACATTGCCAATTGGTTTTATGGTTAAACCTCAAAGTCCTTTTTCTTTTTCTTTTTTTTTTTTTTTTTTTTGGTTTGATACACACACACATACATATATATTTATTAAGGAGAGCTTGAGAGTTTGAAACTACTATAATAATTTACAAAAAATTAAGTTTTGAACCCAAAACCTATATGTAAAAACCCAACACTCTATTAGCTAAAATATTTGACACATGCAAAATTTTATTTTTCACTGATAGTCCATCGCAGAAGGCCAAATTTCTGAACAATTTTAATTAGCTACACCGAATGAGAATGAAATAAAACGAAAAGAGTGCATAGTTCATATATTAATATTTATAATCAGACCATAGATGACACTAGATGCTATACATGAGAAGAGCATACAACTCCATATCTCTGAACTAATCCTCAATTGCTAGCTAGCTGAGCGCTAAATACCACGATGGTACCAAGTAGTACAAATAGTGGCATGCATGCAACTACGTTCGTACGTAATAGTTGTAACAGATGGTCACTTTTATTCTACATAATAATATATGGAACCGAGCCAGCAAGCTAGTCATCCATGCATGCATGCATCATCAGTTCGGAAATGGAGGCTTGTGTGGTGGTTTTTGGGGTGGCTTGACAGGGCGAGTTGGGGGCTTCTTCCCAGTACCAACTGGGGGTTTTAGTTTCCGAGGTGGCTTGTGATCTGAGTCTCTTCCCTCCTCCACCACATTCTCTTCAAGATGACGATCATGATGAGGTGGCTCATCTCCCTTACCCTTCGGTGGCTTATCTCCCTTACCCTTAGGAGGCTGCTCAACTGGCTTTGGTTTTAGGTCTTGTTCAGGGAATGGCTTGTGATCTCCATCGTCATTATGTTCAAGTGGGGTTGGTGGCTTGCCTTTTGGAGGTGGCTTTGGCTTCTTTCCCTTAGGAGGCAATTTCCCATCCAATGACTCTGCCTCTAATAAACGACGTCCGGTGTTTTGTTCATTGTGAGGCGGCTTGTGCTCCGGTGGTGGCTTCTTTCCCTTAGGAGGCAATTTCCCATCCAATGAATCTGCCTCTAATAAACGACGTCCGGTGTTTTGTTCATTGTGAGGCGGCTTGTGCTCCGGTGGTGGCTTCTTTCCCTTAGGAGGCAATTTCCCATCCAATGACTCTGCCTCTAATAAACGACGTCCGGTGTTTTGTTCATTGTGAGGCGGCTTGTGCTCCGGTGGTGGCTTCTTTCCTTTAGGAGGTGGTGGCTTCTTTCCCTTAGGTGGAAATTTCCCATCCAATGACTCTGCCTCTAATAAACGACGTCCGGTGTTTTGTTCATTGTGAGGCGGCTTGTGCTCTGGTGGTGGCTTCTTTCCCTTAGGAGGCAATTTCCCATCCAATGACTCTGCCTCTAATAAACGACGTCCGGTGTTTTGTTCATTATGAGGTGGCTTGTGCTCCGGTGGTGGCTTCTTTCCCTCAGGAGGCAATTTCCCTTCCAATGAATCTGCCTCTAATAAACGACGTCCGGTGTTTTGTTCATTGTGAGGCGGCTTGTGCTCCGGTGGTGGCTTCTTTCCTTGAGGAGGCAATTTCCCATCCAATGACTCTGCCTCTAATAAACGACGTCCGGTGTTTTGTTCATTGTGAGGTGGCTTGTGCTCCGGTGGTGGCTTCTTTCCCTTAGGAGGCAATTTCCCATCCAATGACTCTGCCTCTAATAAACGACGTCCGGTGTTTTGTTCATTGTGAGGCGGCTTGTGCTCCGGTGGTGGCTTCTTTCCCTTAGGAGGTGGTGGCTTCTTTCCCTTAGGTGGCAATTTCCCATCCAATGACTCTGCCTCTAATAAACGACGTCCGGTGTTTTGTTCATTGTGAGGCGGCTTGTGCTCCGGTGGTGGCTTCTTTCCCTTAGGAGGCAATTTCCCATCCAATGACTCTGCCTCTAATAAACGACGTCCGGTGTTTTGTTCATTGTGAGGCGGCTTGTGCTCCGGTGGTGGCTTCTTACCCTTGGGAGGTTCATCACCTGGTTGTCCTGGTTTGTGCTCTGGTGGTGGCTTCACAAACTCTGGATCCTCAGTGTGCTCTTGAGGTGGCTTTTGTCCCTCGGGAATTTTGCCTTCCACCTCTAGCAAGTGGTGTTCATTGTGTGGTGGCTTGTGCTTGGGTGGAGGCTTCTCTCCTTTGCCCTTGAGGAGCTCGTTATGTTGGGTTAGGGGCTTCTTCTCTGGGAATGGGAAAGGCTCTTCCTTGTTAAGTGGGGTTGGAGTCTTGTGATTTGGTGGGTTGTGGGAAGGAGGAGGCTTGGGAATTATTGGGGGTTTCAGGGCAAGAGAAGGAGTTGAAGTGGTGAAAACCACCACTCCGACAAGAAAAACTAGCAAGTAATTGGGAGACATCTTTAGACTCTTATGTTCTGGGATGGTTCGAAACTGGTAGAAGTGAGTGGCTTTTTATAGTGATGGGGCAACACTGAGGTCATGACACATGTCACCATGCACTTGGATTTTTTACTGAAATATGTGGACTCGTTGAATTTTGTATGGTTTGGTTTCTGTTATCTTTGTACAATTTTTATATGAGGAGGGGTCCATTTAGGGTCCTATTTGAGTTGAAATGTTTGACAACTTTTACGTTCATGCCACGCAGGGGACCTGTAGGAAAGCTAAATTACACTATTGAGTGTTCACAACTCACATGCGGTCAGTGACCTGGTACTCCAGCATCGCTGATCGATATTATATTAGAAGATAATGTTTTAACTTTAGAAAGGACAAGACAAATTGAAAATATAGCGAGTTGCTTTTGCACGGTGTCTTTTAAACAAGTTGGAGAAAACAATGGTACTTTCTTTTCGAAATAAGTTCGACCTAAATGGGCCTTCTATATTCGTCCATATAGCCGACTATATATGCACAAATAATTTTCAAGTTTTCTCTTCCATAAACTAGAAATATTGACTCTAATATTTTACGTTAATGCTATAAAAATATTGAGCTAATGATTTAGTAAAACAAACAATCCTTTGTAAAGTTATTCACGCACAAATTATATATTAGTCCATCGAATTGCAGTATATATCTCGAATATAAAAGAGATTCACTTCAGCAAATTTAGAGACTTATACCATGTTAACAGACTGTAGCATAGACCAAATTGTTGTAAGAAATGAAACTCACTCGTGCATCAAATAAATATGGTACACAAGACATTACTCTTTCTTTTTGTTCTATTCCAACGATATATATGATTTTACTTAATCTAAATGACAGAGAGGTGAACTCGGGTGTGAAACACAAAACATATTCTTCCTTTTTCACGTTGAAGCTCAAGTGATCGGATGATAATTAGTGCCGCCTTCAATGGTTTAAAGATATGGTTTATCAAGTTGTGACAAGATTGCGTGTGGCTTTAGGTTCCTTTTCACGTAGTGATTCACGATGCTGTCTTATTATATGCTATCCAACATTCAGCGGCTCCCATAATCATTTTAAGGAAATAAATTATGGAAACTATATTCACTTTTGGAAAAAGCTAGCATGATGAAATTAATAGGATAAAATCATCGGTCCGCAGATTTTGTTTGTTTCTACGGAGATCTCGTGTATCCGGTGGAATGATGGACGATATTTTACCGACTGTATATTTTATTTGTTTTAAGCTTTTTTGTCAATTACTACTAATCCCTATATCAGCGAGCCCGCAATGGTCTTTCTCCTTTTTCCACTTAGGATGACGACCTGCATTTAAAGTTGATATAAACAACACTAAATCGCAAGCTGTTTTAGTGCATAGTTTATGTGGCTAGATAGCAGCTAGCTAGTTAAGCAGAGGCTGGCATGATTTCACGTAAACGACATTAAGCAATTTCAAGAACCGATGTTATAAGAGTTGAGTGTATCTGCGGTACTTAACTCAAGTGTTTTACAAGTTTTGTCAAGAGCATTGAAATCTTTTCTTTTCTGTTATGTGTGAATGACCGAAGAGAGAAACTCTTAGTGCCCATTTGAATGGAGGAATTCCAAATCTATGGATTTTTTGATAAAATTAAAAGATTAAATTGGTTGTTTCAACTATTACAATCATTATATGCGACTATTTGAACAAGTGAAGGAAGAAAGCAAGTGAGTTTCAAATAATTCCTTGCACATTCAAAGGTGGAGCCATGAAGAGACCAAAATGGTCCCGGGCCCATCCTGACATTCTTTTTTTCACGCAAAAAATTTTAGTATTTATAATTTTCAAGGTTTTTCATAGGCTTAGGGCCCCAATCCAACGTTTTTACTTTAATTTCTTTAATTGGATTTGATTTGAGGTTGGTGGCTCCTATAGAGTTTGGGCAATTCGTTGCTTGTACTTTGAGAAGGCCTTGGTTTTAGGATCAGTGGAGGGAGAGAGAGAAAGAAAGTCAGAGAGGCTTGTGGTTTAGATTTAATGAAGTGGATGATGAGGACGACACCATACCAGACCTGAACGACATTGGTCGGTTATTCACCACACAACATAGTAATTTATGGAAGATCAGGAAACTATTTTAGATTGAGACATTTGGATTCCTTCTAGACTAAAATTCTGACTCCACCACTCTGCATATTGTTATTTCAAATTCATTTAAACGAACTACTTTGTGTGTAGTTGTAATCTTATTTGTCAATTCCAAATTACGTTTCTCTTAACTTTCCATGCAAAGAGAGCATTTTGATACTTCTCTTCCATTCTTAAAAGGTTTCCACAACTCGAAGCCTCTGGGCCAGTCAAAAAATGCAGAGAAGTTAAAAGTCAAAAGGTCTATATAGCTTCCGTGATATAGATGCAACGTGGACGAAATTTCCTTTTGTTTGTTTTCGGGTTTATGTGTGTGCGTTTGCTTGTGCATGCATGCATGCATATATATATATGTTGTCGGTGTAGTGACATTGTGTGAAAGCATGAAAGCAGTTGTATGAGTCATGTGGCTGCTTTTGCTACAGGATCTGAAAAAAATTCTCAGTCTCACCTCGGCATGTAAGGTTACCAATTTATTTATGTTAAATTTCAAGTAGACGGGTCATGGGCTGACTCCAACAACATCGATATTATTTCCACTTGACCACCTGCTCAATCTGTCAAGTGTGAGGTTTTAATACAAAATGTCTCAGTATTAGTTAGAGTGGGGTAATTCTATATAAATTACTTGTTCTCAAGCTCTGTGGCCGATGTGGGACAGAGAAATTCCAACAATTTATGCTATAACATTTATGTACTTATTCAAAATCATATTCTCTAGGTCCCTAATAGTCATCAATTATGTTATTCAAGTAGATGGTTTAGTAGCACATTGGGATAGTGTCACACTAGGGTTTAGTAGCACAATGTTATTCATGTAGACGGTTTAGTAGCACGATGGGATAGTGTCACACCACAAAGTTCATGATGAAGACATTTTTTATTTGACGTTGCTTCACCTGGAGGTCACAAATCAACTAATTAGGTTGTTAATGGATACCCATTAAAATTCATTTAGTTTAATTTCACCTTACATTATCGTCACAATTATCAATCTCACATTTATATTATAGTGATATCAAATTAAACAGGTCTTAATAGGTATCTGTTAACAATTTAATGAATTGATTAGCAACCTCTACCTTCACCAAGTAGCTAGAGTTACCATTACTTACAACTGTAACACATACATACTTAATTTATTATATTAATCTTAAGTTCCAAATTAATCATTTATCATGTTATTTATACAGCCTACAAAATTACATGAATTAGTAACGTAGTCACAGTACAAAGTTTCTGAAGATTCTCTTCGGCAATTTTGTACCTCACCTTTCAACTTGTGGGACATCCTGTTGACTCTTTGTACTACCCTAGTAATTGAGACGAAGTAGGCCAGACCACTATGCATTTCACAATATAAAGCAGAACATAGTATCAAGGCAATGCATGTGGACACAATTAAGTATTCCGTTATATTTTGCAGGTGGTTTTTTACCGGTCCTCGCATATATGTTCACAAGCAGTACATAAAGTCGACATTATGATGAGAACCCTGGTTGATCTCGGCGGCTCTGCCGACATGTGCTTCACAGCTTAGGGTATTGACAAAGATAAATTACATATAGTAGTTTTTCTTTATTTTTATACAAGCAGTAGTGTGGTGAAATTGAACTCAACACGTTCAATGCATATGAAATATTTTTAACCAATTGAGCTATGAATTTCTTACAGTATTATTATTATTATTATTATATATTGTCAAAATTTTAGAAATGCGAGCTTAATGGTTCAACACCAATATTATCTTCAAATTAACCATTTGCAGCCTAAGAGGTGTAAGATTTTTTCCTTAAGACATCAACATATTTAGGATAAAACTATTGTATATAATTTGTAATATTTTGTCAAATCTCCAATGTGGGATTTCCGCGCTACCTCACGTGGAACCATATCTCCAGTCGGCCACACATGAAGAGAACTTCAACATTGGGAATGGAAAGACAAGTACGTGAATGTTGAATATAAGTCCCACATTGGAGAATTAACAATATATAAGTATATGAATTCACTCCTAAAAATAGAGACGTCCTTGTAATAAAACTCAGCAGCCAGTAATAGGTGATTAAGTTAGGATAATATTGGTGTGGTTAAGAGTGGGCCAGTGATTATCTCCTTGATGATCAGACATGGTACTAAAGCAGGTTTGATTATCAGTCCATGTGGGTTCATGCTTGAGTGATTGTGATTAATGTAACACCCTGCTTCCACACTTAATCTCGGAAGTGGGATCGGCTACACTTGTGGCCCACTATGTTTTGGTTACATGGGAGGGGGCGTGTTGAATATAAGTCCCAAATCAGGAGATTAAGAAAATAAGGTACAATATATGAATTCACTCTTAAAAACACCGTGGTCTTTTGTGATAAACCCAATACTTAGTAATAGGTGATTAAGATGAGACAAAATTGGTGTGGTTAGGGGTGGTCTATGGCCTGTTTCTCTAATTATTTGACAGTGAATATTATGCACTCGAAACAAACCAATAATGGGATCCAAAAAAAAGTACAAACCCAATATTTGGGCCTAGAAAAATAGCTCTGATATCATATTAAAGTTTCAGAGAGATGAGTAGAGTGACCTAAAGCAATAATGACTCTGACTTAACCACATGTAGTCCAATAGATGTGAGATCTTATCCTAAAAGACTTTAATGTAAAATGAAAGCATTTGTATATAAATCATAATATGTTTTGTCTATTCCGATCACAGCCATGACCTCATTTGGCAGCTCAGACAGTACTGACTATTTCTGTTGGATATGATAAATAGTCACCGGATAGTACTGACTAAATTAGTCAAGCATTTGGTGCAGTATCGGACTAATGACCGTATTATTTATATTGTGTTTGGTACTGAACCGGATAAGAAAAGGGAAGGAAAAAA